TTAAATCAAATAAAAAAAATATAAGATTGGGACTATGATAATTTAATTAATAGAGTTACCTAGTTCTATGTTTCTTTTCTCCAGTTTGATTTAGCTTTTATAATATTTTAAAGCATGTCTAATTATTTTATCAGCCAATAGAGGATCTTGGAGATCCGTGAATTGTGTCCGTTCATCGTACATCGTGCGGTTAGTTTTTGTCAAATACTGTTTATGTTTATTTTTAAATAAAAATATTTAAAATAAATTTTAACCGTACGATATACGATGAATGGATACGATTTACAGATCACCGAGATCCTCACAAAGAGGATCCAGCAAGAATCGGGACTCTTTTATCACATCATTCGTGTACGTTGCTTAGCTTTTCTTTTTCTTTGACTATATGTATGTATGTGGGGGTGAGGAAGATGGGACACCGGTCCTTTACACACATTTTGTAAGGTTTGTTTTGTAATGTGGTTAAACGAACTGAACCGTTTATATTTTAATTCATCTTTCATAGATAATCATTGTAAAAAAAAAAAATATTAAACAAATCTAAAATCATTAAGCCATTCATGTTTAGTGAAAAAAAATAGACTAGTACGATTTTACACAAAAACAATAAATTTAGTCCAACGGATATATGACTTCGGATTTGGGTGATTTTGGTAGAGGTTATATTTGAGAGAATACCTAATAAATAGACGATTAGATCGTTGAAATACATTACGTAGTGAGTCTCATAAAAACGTGTATAAAAAATGTCTTTGGATAACCCACGTGTATGATGCTTAATGCTACCGTCCAGTGAAGGCAGGCCAACCTCCCTGATTAAGTTTGGTGTGCTGTGGGATTATGTGGCCTCCTAAAGCTCAAAGTCGACGACGGCAAGAAGAATAAGAAAAGGAAGAGGGGGGGGGGGGGGGTTTTGTGGCGAAAAACTACTTCTCATGGGATATTCGAAAGTGTTGAAAACTCACATATAAACCCGCACATCGTTGTCTGACGAAATGAGAGGAGGCAAAAAAAGCCAATGGATTTCATTTTCCATGAAAGCAAAGAACCTGTGCAGATGCTAACTGGACCATGGGAATAGAATCTTATATACTCTTTTTTTTGAGTGAATTATATACTCTTTGATCAAGAAAACATAAGACTTTGTTGAATCCGCACATAAATAGTTATCTTCTAGAACATCATATCATTTTAAATGGCCCAAATGGGTGACCAAAATCAAAGCTTTGGTCCCTAAAGAGGGTTGGGATTTATTGCGTAGAGAATCGAAGTTCAACAAATGAAAAATTGAGTAGCGTTAAATCAACTAGTTATCTAACATTATTAGTGATCCAATACTTCATGTGTGGTTACACTTTTTTATTTCGTATTTTCATTTTTCATCTTTTTACTACAAAAAGGTATTCTAAATTATTCTGGTCTATGTAGAACGTAATTTTGTAGCCTTTATTTGCAATCTTAAAATAAAAAATTCATTATCAAATGTTAAAAGTACAAACAAATGATGTAAAGAGAAACACACAGTACAAGTACGAATAGGCATCTCCTTCTCTAAGATTCAAGAGAGAAAAATTAAAATGCTCGTCTCTAAGAAGAGCACTGATCATATGAAATCAAGGTTCTAAAAGACGCTAGGCGCTAGTTGGGCGGTGAGTTGGGGCCTAACGCCTAGGCGGCTAGACGGATTTAAGTAAATCTATTATATTTCGTGTAAATAAGTGTCTGTTTATACTTAATATATATATATATATATATATATATATATATAATTTTCTTATAAACTACAAAATAGAATATCATATATATTAGGAAGTATTGGAACATAATGAAAACATGGGGAACATGCATATAATGTGTATTCATTTAAGTATTCAACAAGTCTCTTACAATTTATTGAAAAAAATAAGATGCAAAATGAAAGTTATCTATTTTTTGTCTAAGTGAGTTGCAACCTAGGCGGTCTAGGCGGGCGCCTCAGCAGGTCTAGGCCCCTTCTATAATTTTCAAACGCCTAGGCATTAATTGGGGCGGTGGCCAACCGCCTAGCGCTTAGGTGGGAATTTTTAGAACAGTGAATGAAATGAAAAGAAAATGTAGTGAAACATTGGAGAACTAGATCACATGCTCCAAACCTCTACAGAGAAGAAGACTCAGAATTTGGCGAGCGAAGAAGCACATGACATAACAAAAACGAGAAAGAGCACAAAATGAAGAGGTGCTCTGCTGGTGCTTCCGTCGGATGTGTTACCGTTTGTGGATGGGACTGTTTTCGAACCTCCTCCTGCATTAATACATGTCATGTTAGTATTTCGGATCTAAGTTGACAATGTGACAATATAATATGTTAGACTATTTGAGAAGACAACATTTCACGATGCATGTCACTGTAGTTGATATGGAATAATATCTTATACCTGAAGATGAAGGAATGTCCGAGGCCAATGGCGAAATGGACGCTTCAGGAGTAGAAGCTTCTGAAGGTGTTTCATTGGAGGAAGCTGCTGGGGAACTTGCTGGAGGAGTTGATGATGAAGTTGAAGGTCCATTGGCACCTGCTTTAATCAAATCAGTTCCAGCTTATTAGTATAAAATACCTTATTGTTGGGTCAATTGTTGAGAATGAGCACACACTGATAGGAGGAGAGACATTGCATGTGCTTATAAGTAATTGATCGTACTCTCCAATTACCAATTGATTTATGATAGAACCTCAACTTTCTTCATCAATACCTGAATAATATAAGCTATTTTGGCATTCATAGTTTAACTTCTAACACTTCAATTTAAATATTTTATATTTATTTATTATCTAGATACATTGTCGAGTGCAATGAGATAAACTGAAACTGCGAAAATCACTACTCTAAAATAATTTCAACTTACCTTTACATTGGCTAGGGGGAGGAGTTTGCACTTTGCAAGCCCTGGGCAATGACAAAGCAAGTGTTTGGTTTATGGTGATGCCCAATGAGCTGGCACCGTTGACCAAAGAGCAAAGGCACTGAGGTGATGACTGGACAACATTAGAGAGCTGTGAGCAGCAAGAAGATGAAGGGTTTGATGTGTTTCCAGTAACGAAAGTTGAGGCATGGAACCAGGCTTGTGATTGTGTGCTGGTGCAGCTTAACTGAGCCATGACTCCACCCAATAGCATGGACCCAAGGACCAGGGCTAGAACCATCTCAATTCCTTTTGAATGCCATGGTCAAGTGGACTTGTTTGAAAATAACGAGGAGATGGACTTGGTGATTAAACTTTCAAAAGATATGTGTAATTTGCATATTTGTGATTTGGGGTTTGAGTGAGGACAGAAAAGGGATGATATGGGATTTATATAGGGAACTTTCTTTTTGTAGAGACAATAAGATTGGTGTATTTGGGTGGCCAAACCTCAACTGAATTGATGTTGTTGGCAACTAAAAAGAGCTTTTCAATAAATTAAGATAAGAAACTGTCATTATTTGAACCAATTATATGCTCTAAAATCAGATTACCTACTTTTAGATTTTGGACCCGCCCAGTAACTTGTGTGTCACCCTATATAATTGGGGTAATGATATTCACACACCCTTTTATTACTTTCCACACACTCTTGTTAATTTTTTTCTAATGATCTTCAATTCATTTGATTTGACGTTTGAAAATTGAGAGGTGTGTATGAGAAGTAAAAATAAGTATGTAAATAAGATTATCCTACATATAAGTGAATCAAATTTATGTAAGCAAAGCATCAAACATTTGACAAATGGCTTGTAACTCGAGTTGTTAAAAGTACTAATTCCTACACTAAAAGCAGCTCAAGTTGTTAAATTAGTGTACCATTGCACCCAAGGTTCTCCATCCTCACTGTGTTAAAGGATTTACATTAAGTAACCAAGTCAAAAGTTTACTATAAAAACTCCAATAAGAGTTTTCGACCATGTCATTTACTATACGTTTTTCACAATGCTGTAAAATCTATTTATATTTTGGTCTCACCTGACCTTATACCTAGTCACACACACTATTGAACATCCTTCTCACTATGTAGAACTATGCTATAATTAAGGGATTCGTCCCAAGTATATGAAAAGATTAGTTGAAGTTGTTGAACTCCAAAACCCACTTCAAAACGACTCCTTTTTATTTTTTCATTCAAAACCTCTCCATTTCATCAGCTATATATAAACTACCTCCTCAACTTGAGCCAAACCCAACTAAGTTCTAAATCCCAGTATTTCAATTCCCAGAGCCTTCCATTGAAGACAAACTCATGGACTCATTCAAGGACTTTCGATTGAGTCTAATCCCAATTACCCTCCTTATCATTTCACTAAGATGGGTTAATGGGCAGATTAGTACACCATGCACAACCTCAATGATAAGCAGCATCACTCCATGCGTAAATTTCATCACCGGGAGTACAAGCAGCGGCGCACCACCGACAGCCGGATGTTGCAATTCGTTAAAGTCAATAATGGGCACGGGCACGGACTGCGCTTGTCTTCTTATAACCGGCGGTGTCCCTTTCCAACTGCCCATTAACCAAACCCTTGCGCTTTTCTCTTCCTCAAGTTTGTGGGATGGGAGCCGTCCCACTGCAATGCAAAGGTACGTACTCACATAATTTTAAGATTTTTCTAAGAATGTGTTATATAAGTGACGACTTGTATAAGAAATCTAATTTTGCGATATTTCTTCTTAATTTGCAGCCTCTGGTAGTCCTTTAGCTGCTCCAGGTATGTTAGAATTCATGTTAATCTAAGAATGTAAAAATTTAGGCCTTGTTAGGTGGCTGAGACAATACACGACTAATCAATTAAAATGGCCTATTTGTCGTGTCCTTTGTTCGGTTAACTTGTACATGTTAAGACTGGACTTATTAAATTGGGCAACAGTCCGACATTTGTGACTTACACATCCCGTCTGGATTGGGTGAGACTCTATAGTCCAATCCCGGCCACCAAACGGGTCATTTCGCGATGTGCCAATGTGTTAACTAGTACTTGAACTGGCAGGTTCTCTGGGTTACTAGGGCCAACACCCCCACCAACAGCTTCTTCACCTCTAAGTCCAGGAGGTAATAATTATTGATTACTAGCTAATTTTTCCTTCAAATTGCAAAGAAAGTTTTAAGTCTCTTTCTGAAGGCTAATACTAACGTTAATCTATTGGAATTGATGGGCAGATTCTATGGCGGTTGCAGCAGGTCCTGCACCAGAATCTGGAACATCTGATGATCTGCAGCCAGCATCTCCATCAGATGAACCAGAAGCTCCAACACAAAGTACCAAAGGAGTCGGAAGACCACAGCTGACCCCATCAGCATCTAGTTTAACCTATGTTCCCCCACCATCTTTCATACTGATAATTTTGGGAATTATGGTTTTCAAGTCCTACTAATACCTCTCTAGCACATGCTTTTTGTATGGTTTATCACATCCACAACTAGTAAGAGGATTGTTATAAGATCGTTAATTTATACCGTCTTCATTGGAATGGTATAAGCTTAATAAACATTGTTAGCTTGGCTCATATTATGTTTAACTATTTGGGGCGAGCGATTGTCTACTAGTCAAACAATACGTACAATGGCGAATCCAGTATATTTTCCTCTTGGGATTAAGACGAAGTTCGCATGACATATGAGGCATTTTTTCAATCACCTTGCCGTTCCATGCTTAAAGGAGAATATAAAAGGAAAATTAGACAATTTCATGTTCAACAGTGGTGAGGTGGACAGCTGCATAAACTCGCCCAACCAAGTATCAAGCCCTCGTGTATAATCAATTGTCTTAAATATTCCATACAATACCACGTATGTTGCAGTCCTATTAGATTATGAATGTAATTGTGTAAATCCTAGTATATCTTGAAATATCTTTTATATTCATATTAGGAATTGATTACGAGTTGTAATCCTAAAGGGGTAAGGAATTAACCCTCCCTACTACTATAAATAAAGGCACAATGGGGTGGAATAAAACACACCCACAATTACACATCTCTCTCTTCTCTCTACTATTGCCGTACCTTTCTTTCTCTCTCTATGGCCTCCATAACTGTTCAACAAATTATACCTACAACATGTTATCAGCACGCTCTTGACGCTGCGCTAACAAGAGAATTTATTCTTCAATCAAGGGAGTATTACGTTTTAATCATTATTTTAATGATTAATTTACTATTTTATTGAATTGATCTACAAGCTATTGATTCAATTTAATTTTTCTGTGTTGAACGTGATACAACGCATTGGAGATACAATTCTGGCTTTTCGAGAAGGATTTTCTACAAATTCAAAGGCTTTTGTTGTTTTCTGCCAATAAGGTACGCTTAAAATAAAGGAAGATATTTGAAACGACCTTGAAGCATGAAAACACTCCCTATGATGCATGAACCCCTCTTGTTTATATTTTCCTTACGATATATATATATATATATATATATATATATATATTGTATATGTTTATATATTTTGTCAATATATATATATTTTGTCAATATATATATATTTGTTTCATGCATTACGCAATTAAATTGCTATGTGGAACGACATTGTTTTTGACGTCTTGGACCCTTTGCCAAAGCCCTTGGGCTTCGCTGCATCTGTGGATAACTAGGCCATGTGCCTGGTCCAGTTTTTTACCACGGGCCTGCAGCCCCGAGCTACATTAGTGCCTGCTAGGCTTAGCCTTGACACGGCCCGCGTTTCCATAAGCTAGCCCATGGGGCTGGGCTTAGTTTATGTGCCTAAAATCGAAACCCAGTTACGGCTGGGGTTTCACTCGCAACCCGCAAGCCTTTGGGCTTGTTCCTGCACCTTTCCTTGGCCTAAAATCACGCCAGCCTCTTGGTTGGGCTCTTTGGGCCAAAACCAGCAACTTAGGCTGCCCTTTTTTGTTCACACCCAGGCCTGTGGCCTGTAGCCCACTCCCGAGGCCTTTATGGCCTTTGCCTACTTATGGCACCCAACCCAAAATTTTTGGGCTATGGTTTTTGACCCAATGCTTTATTTAGCATTCTTTTTTGACCCAATGCTTTTTTTTTTGGCATTTTAAATAATTTTAACCCGAATGTTATAATTATTTTTGCTTTTACAATCGACCCCGAATGGTCCCGATTTATTGAATTAATTAAAAGTGACCTTTAGTCCATTAATCTGATAATGAATCCAAAATTATTGACATGAAGATCACTATTGGACATTAACGATTCAATAATTTATTTTTATACTTTGAACCGTTGACATACTTTTGTAGTAACGAAGGTCTCACACTTAAGTTCCCGAAGAAACTCAAATCCACTACACTTAATTATATATTGCATTCTGTGTTCTTGCAGGAACCTCTATTTCATGAACTAAACATTCATAAACTAAAATTGAACCTGTAGTTTCAAATTTAGTGCCTTTGAACCTGAAGTTTTCATAAAACAATACACACATGAAAACCTGACATTTTTCATGAAAACCATGTCTTAGAACTTGAATGTTCTAACTTTGATGCTTATGGTCATTCCCATAACACTAATCACAATCTTGTTCCCTCCAATTTAGTGGATTGTCGAACCATTACAAATTCGATTTTCCTGATTTGGATGTTTCTAAGAGAAACCACTTTATGTGGGGTACAAGACGTGAATATCCACTTGACTATCAAGAAGCTGAGAAACCATTGTAGCCGACAATGGCATGGAAGAGCTGAATAAGCCTCCGTTATGATCTTCATTTGATGACTTATGCCCGAAGCATTACCAATGGAAGTACCCCTTGAACGAGGATTCTATGGCTCTGTGGCTCATACCATGAACCGTCTAATCATGAAAGATATTGCTCGATGCACACCATGATTACGTCCATGAATGAGTACAATTTTGAAGTTTATAAATCCGATCGAATTTCGACTGGAGAATACTTTTTCTTGTCCTTCCTTATTTTTAGCTCGCTCATGAAGCAACAAGTGTAGAAAGCGGAAGTTCACCAAATTCTCGAATCTAATTACTACCACAAACATATGGTAGAATCAGGGCCTGCCAAGGTGTGGCATCATGCCTAAAGCGTGATCCTCGACACCTAAGACCTAAAACTTCAAGAATAAGGGATAATATTCATGAACCTTAACCTTGCAGACTATACTTCCGTCTTGATGGAATAGATCATTGGTTATGCACATGTTCATGCCCCTACCAATGTTGTTGAGGAGTACCATTCTAGTAGTCATTATGTGAGACTAATTTTGCTCCACCAAACACCGTTGGAAGAGCATAATTTTGACATGGATGGCCTTGTTGGCCGAATCCCCTTAGTAAACCATTTACTTTGTGAACATTTTTCCTTGTTCTTGGATTCAAGTTTGGTGTATGTTTTACTTATGAATAATCTTAATGATATTATCATCCAATACGAGTTAATTGAATTATGTTTCTTGTATACGTGACCAATTTAATTAAACACGTGATTAAGTATGAATGTGGGAAAGTTAGCTGTCTGGATGAATGCGTACTACGCACACTAACTTTACACCTAAATCACATCTCTAACAACGACTTCAGGTCTATCCAACTTGATTAAGAGCATTGGCATGCTCCTCGTTGTATGAATGGTACTGCATCACCATTTAAGAGACCTTAAATTTTCCCTGTCGTTGAGTTTTAAAGGATATTCGAGAGAACAATGATCATAAATGAAACCACTGAAGAAAATAGAGTGAATATCTTTGTAGCACCTCAAAAAATGAGCCTGAAGCTTTGCTTTGGGGCCAATGGGCTGTCTCCCAACTAGGAATACACCACATATGGCCGGCCTGAAGCCTGGTGATTGAGCAGTTTACTTGATTTAGCACGACCATTTAGGATACTTAGGTCAAACAATGATGCTACAATGCATCTCCTTACCCGAAGTAAGGATCTTGTGCCTACAAGCACACTTTGCCAAACCTGTTCATTAGGGAAATTGATTTTCTATATCATTCCTCGCAAAGATACGAAACCACCTTTTTTTTTTTTTTTTTTTTTTTTTCACAGTGGATTCAAGGGAATATATGTGGACTAATCTAACCAAAATGCAGACCATATAAATACTTATGGTTTTGGTTAATGAATCGACAAACTAGTCACATGTTTGTCCACACACATTGCTGCTAAACCCCCTAGTCGATTAAGGGTTCACCACCTTACATATCCTATAAGGTCTGGGAGACTGGATAATGCCGGAGAGTTTATATCGACGATTTTTGATAAAGTATTGCATGTATTTTGGGTTTATAATTGAATATCGAATTCCCATGTTCACCCCAAATAGCCTCGCCTAGCGATCATAAAGCGCAATTTAAATGATCGCTTGGATTTTGGTAAACATACCAAGTTTTCGGTTTCTACCTAGGGCTATGCAATCTTGTATATAGTTATGTTGGTCTGCCTTGAGGCCCATTGCCATCCAATCTATATGATGTTATAGTTGGTTATTGGGTACGAACCTGACAATTTTCGTATTTACGCATTTGGGTGTGCATTTCATGTGCCAAGTTGCGCTGCCGCAACGTACCAATATGGGTCCTAAAAGAAGGATGTGAATATTTGTTGATTATGATTCTCCTTCGCACTAGCTCTTTTCGAGCCTTTGCACGCAATCTCTTTACCGCTCATTTGTGGGTTGTCACTTTAATAAGATAGTCTTCCCACCATTAGGGGGAGATACGAATGTCAATGTTCCTAGAGAATGGCGTGAATTTGTGTGGACGTTGCTCACTACGTCTCATCTCGATCCCAATACCGCACATGTATGATAAATAAGTGCGATGAATTCTAGATTTCAGAATGTTGCTCCAGACGCATTCCTCTGATCTAGCTAAAGTGACGAGATCATATACCAGCTGCAAACATGCCTGCAAGGATAGACGTACTTAATGGAAGTCGAGTCAACATCCTTGGAGGGTGTGCCGCCCCTACTGGACAGTTCGATACATCGGCGGATAACCAATCAATCTGTCTTGGCCTAGAGCATGACAGATCACTTGGTTCGTATGATCACTTCCCTAGAAGAGGAAGGCACATCATAAAATGAATCTAAACTCGATCGCTGTCTCAAATCATTTCCATCTCATGAGATTAATTCGGATTACTCCTGAGACATGAAGTTCTTGGTCCAGTATACTAGTTTGGATGAGCTAAATGGAATTGTAATAAAATTACCATCGATGATGTTTTCACTTATATGGTAGCTACCGACATAAATGAAAAGCGACGATATCGAACCGTGTTTCGTTGATTAAATGACAACGTAGAACTGATTGGAAAACTAAAGTTACAATCCAAGTCAAATTTTTTACCAAAGTATGTATTGGACCTGTCGTTCCTACATTGCCCAAGGTAATCACGTTATGTTACAAGTGGGAAAAGAAGTGTTATGAGATGAATGAAATAGTGCAATATGATGCATGTCGACGCAAGGTTTCTCTCAAACGTCTTGTGATTGATAGCAACATTATGAAATGTGGTTAGTGTTTTCTCCATGGGGATATAGATATAGAGATTTA